ACATTCTAGATGGGAATACTTGTAATATACAGTTGATCCTTGACCAACATGTCTTTGAACGGTACAGGTCTACTCTACTTACACATGGACTTTTTTTGATACTGCATTGTACTGTATTTTACGTTTTTCTCAATAACATTTTTTTCTCTAGCTTATTTTATTTTGAGAATATAGTATATAATACCTGTAATGTACAAAACACGTGTTAACGGATTATTTAATGTTATGGGTAAGGCTTCCAGAAGATAGAGAAATTAAGTCGAACTAGGCTATTAGTAGTTTAGTTTTTTAGATTCCATGCATAAGTGAAATCATATGGTATTTTCCTTTCTCTGAGTTACTTCACTTAGGAAAATACTGTGTCTACCAATGTTGTCACAAATGACAAGATACCATTCTTTTTTGTAGCTGAGTAGTATTTCACTATATACATGTAACACATCTTCTTTTTCCATTCGTCTATTGATGGACACTGAGAATGCTTCCATACTCTCGTTATTGTAAATAATGTTTCAAAAAACACAGGGGTCCATACAACTTTTCGAATTAGTGTTTTCATTTTCTTTGGGTAAATACTCAGTAGTGGAATTACTGAATTGTATCGTATTTCTATTTTTAATTTTTTGAGGAACGATGACACTTTTTGACAGTAACATTATATTCAGGATTTATAAAACGAATAATCTGACAACACTACTAGACAGGCCTTGTAAAATTAATAACCCAACACCCCTTGATGGGAGAAATTTTTATTGAAGCAATTTTATAATACCATTAATAAATACTATGTAAAATACAAACCACTTTTTCATATGACGTGACTTAAGGAACTACCAATGTAATGTTACTATCTTTTCCCCAAAAGCTCTTTTCCTAAAAATTTACTTCTGTGACCTTTGTTTATTTCCAGGTAAGAATTGTGCTTAGATAGTAGAAATAGCTTGAAGTCCTTAATAAATAGAACACATCTGCAATTTTATTTATACTTTTCCATTTATCAAAAATATAGGAGGGTAAGAAAATTATACACAGAAGAACAACGTACAATGTATCAGCAAATTTTAATTTGAAGAATTATTAACTAGAAGGATTTTCTCATAACTGTTAGTTTTCAAACTATGCCCACAGAAATCTAAGGTTCCACTGGGGACACAGCAGGATTGAGGGAGAAGGAAGTTTACAGGTGTAGTCTCATCTCTCCTTTAGCTAAACAGCTCTACGTGTCTCTGTTTTATATAATACAGTTTAATGCAAAAAAACACAAAATTTAATTTCTATTCTTTGGAAAAAAAGTTTTTCCAAAGGTATAAAAGTCACTAACTTCGTCAAAGTCCCTAATTTTACATAAGAGACAAAAAGGATCCAGAGAGATTGTAGTTTGCCTGAGGTCAAAAAACCACCTGGCTGCAAGCCAGGAATGTGGTTTGGGTCTTACTGAGCCTAGAGTTTTATGGCAGTTACTTCCTCATATTCAGGAACAACGCATGTATTTTTAACTATAACTCAGAGAATATGAATACATAAAACTTTGTCATGTGGCTCAATAATGTTCAGGCATTAGGCACAAAATAGCTTTCTAACTAAATTACAAATTTTAAAGTCATGAAAAAAAGAAAGGGACAGAAGTTATCTTAACTCCTATTAGTAACAGTCAACATATGCAATTTATAAGCACAAAGTTTTTTAACCAAAAGACAAGGAACTTGAAGGAGAAAATCTTTAGTTGAACCAAAGAACCTGAAACTGAGGAAATTCTTCCTTGAAAGAATTATTCATTTCCTTCAAATAAAACTTGGTTTATCCAAATCAATCAACAAATGAGTTACCTATGTTGTGGGTTATTTATAGCAAAATTTAAAACGCACAACAGATTTCTCTTTACCATCTACCATGCTCTGTCCAACCTCTCATCATTAGTTGGTATGTACAAAAGACATGATTAACTTTAATTAGAATTTAAATCAAGTCAGAAATTATAGGTAAACCTTCATTTCCATGTGAGGACTTTTCTCTACCTTCCTCACGACAGGAAGGGAGATTTACCTAAAGGGTGAATTTGGGAGAAGGCACTAAGCAATGCATACATGGTTCCAAATCTCTTCTTTAAAAAGATGTGCCTGCCATAGTAGCATGAATTCAAGTCTGCTCTCATCTTTGTGGGATGGGCATCAAACATTTGTTCCTTCCATTACAACTGTGTGTGGAAGTGCCTAATTTGGGATAAAGTACTGGGAAGCTCACTGTGGCTACCTACCTAAACCATATCCTCCTATTTGTTAGTATGTATTAGTAATAAAGTTACTAAGCTTATCTCCATCTGCCTGACTCCTGTGTTCTCAACTCAGAAAAAGAAGAGCAATGTCATCTGCCACCTACTCCACCACAGTTCCAACAAGAAAAATGACCAGACAACACTTAGACATGTTTTCTTCTTCCTTGACTTTATAACTAACATTCATTCTTCAAAGCAACATACTTGAAAGAGGGAAAAAGTTGACAAGAACAATTTCAGAAACAAACATAGAAAGTCAACCAAAATGAGGAGACAGGGGAGTATGTTCCAAATGAATGGACAATGCAACACTTCAGAAAAATAACTAAATGAAACAGAGATAAGTAGTCTACCTGATAAAGAGTTCAAAGTAATGGTCATAAAGATGCTCAGCAAACTTGGGAGGAGAATGGATGGATTCAGTGAGAACTTCAACAAAGAGAAAATATAAAGAAGAACCAATCAGAGCTAAAGAATACAATAACTGAAATGAAAAATACACCAGAGGGAATCAACAGCAGATTGAAAGCTGCAGAAAAGACCAGTGATTTGCAAGACAGAGTAGTAGAAATCCTCCAAGCCAAAAAGAAAAAAAGAATTTTAAAAATGAGGATAGGTTAAGGGACCTCCTAGGATTGAGCCCCACATTAGAACCCCTGCTCAGAGAGCCTACTTCTCCCTTTCCCTCTGGCCCTCCCCTCCCACTTGTGTTCTCTCTCGCTTCCTCTGCTCCCTCTCTCTCTCATAAATAAATTAAAATTAAAAAAAAAAGGAGGGGTGCCTGGGTGGCTCAGTCATTAAGCATCTGCCTTCGACTCAGGTCATGATCCCGGGGTCCTGGGACCGAGCCCCACATTGGGCTCCCTGCTCAGCAGGAAGCCTGCTTCTCTCTCTCCCACTTACCCTGCTTGTGTTCTCTCTCTGGCTGTCTCTGTCAAATAAATAAATAAAATCCTCAAAAAACAAAAAAAAAGGAAATCCATAACTAGAAGTAAAAGAAATTATGAAAGAAAGTTTTATTGGGGGGCGCCTGGGTGGCTCAGTCGGTTAAGCGTCTACCTTCAGCTCAGTTCATGATCCCGGGGTCCTGGGATCGAGCCCCGCATCAGGCTCCCTGCTCCGTGGGAAGCCTGCTTCTTCCACCCTTCCCCTGCTCTCTCTCTCAAATAAATAAAATCTTTTTTTTTTTTAAGAAAGTTTTATTGGTAAAAACAAACATACAGGAAAGGTAATAGATTAATCACTTTTATAAAGCCAGTATGAAGGTTAAAAGACAAAAGTAGTAATATCAGTTATATCTACAGTAATTAGTTAAGGGATACACAAAATAAAAAGATGTAAACTAAGACATCAAATAAATAAAACAAGGTGGGGTGTAAAAATGTAGTGTTTTTAAAATGTGTTTGAACTTAAGTAACCATCAACTTAAAATAGACTGCTATATACATAGGATGTTATATATGAACTTCATGGTGATCACAAACCAAAAATCTAAAGGCATCCAAGCATAACACTAAAGAAAGTCCTCGAATTAGAAGGGAAGAGAGCAAGACAATAAGGATGCTGAATGAAGGAACAAGATTGAGGCCACATTTACCACGAGCCTATGCTACTTTTGTCTACATTAATAAGACCATGAATATACCATCAAAACCATAAACCTATGTGCATTCATTGAAATGGGTATTTTAATAACAATGATACACAAAGGAAACTAGCTGCTATTTAAAGACTCCCTATCATTCCCATCTTAGTCATCAATCATTTAAGTGATGGCAAGGTAGATATATGTGAACTTCTTTTTAAAAATTCAAATTGTGGGGCATCTGGGTGGCTCAGTCACAGTTAAGTGTCTGATCTTGATTTTGGCTCAGGTCACAATCTCAGGGTTGTGAGACTGAGCCCTACATTGGGCTCCACACTGAGCATGGAGCCTGCTTACGCTCTGCTCCTCACCCCCTGCTTGCACCCCCTCTCTGAAAAAAAAAAAAATCAAATATTTGCTTGATTTAGCTATTTAGAAAATGCTCTACAACTGCTCAAGACATTTTGTAAAACGTGAAAAAGAAGTGTTATAAGTAAAAAAAAAAAAAATGCTATAAGTAAGAAAGCAATTAAAAATGTACTCTCATGAAAGAAAAGAGGTCATGAGACTGGGCCCTAAGTAGGGTTCCACGCTTAGTGGGGAGTCTGCTTGAAAGTCACATGCTCTCTCTCCCTCTTGTGCACTCTCTCTCTCTAAAATAATAAAATCTTTAGGGGCACCTGGGTGGCTCAGTCGTTAAGCATCTGCCTTTGGCTCAGGTCGTGATCCCAGGGTCCTGGGATCAAGTCCCGCATCGGGCTCCCTGCTTGGAGGGAAGCCTGCTTCTCCCTCTCCCTCTCCCACTCCCCCTGCTTGTGTTCTCTCTCTCACTGTGTCTCTGTCAAATAAATAAATAAAATCTTCAAAAAAATAAAATGAAATAAAATAAATAAAATCTTTAAAAAATAGTAAAATATTTCAGTTTATTTATATCTACTAAATAAAGTTAATAATAGGTATCTCTTGAAAGTAAGAGCTCCAAGAACTAAAAAAAAATCATAAAATTTCCGTCTCATTTCTTTATTAGCACATATAATTATGACTTTTACTTAGTGTGTGTTAGTTAACAACTCAGAATTTCACCAAATTAAAAACAAAAATTATATCAGAAATCTGAAACCCAAGGAAAAAAAGATAACTAACCTTGGTCAAGAAAGTCTCGATGCCATTCTTTTTAGGCCATGAGCTTGAGGTAGGAATCACTAGGTTTTCTCTTGGAGCAACATATGTATTCAACAGTGAACTGTTATTCATATTTCTAACAGAAGGCAATTCTAGGACAGGGGTCATAGCAATAGTATTAATCAAAGACGTTTTTTCCTGTGTCTCCACCAGAAGTTTGGTACTGGTCTCTCTGCCAGCTAGCTTCTCATTAGTCCTGTTAGGATTACAAAACACAATGCTTAGTATTTCATTTCTCCCCAAATCATTCCTAAATGACTTGCATTTTTTTGAAGTTTCCATAATAGTAAACAGAATGTGCCATTAAACGGTATTTTAACACTGAAAGTGTGACAGAGCAGACCTACAATATATAATGATAGGTTTAAAATTGTTCTAAAGAAGGACATATATTTCTAGAGATTCCTAACTAACAAGTAATTCAAATTAAGGAGGGACAGAAATGGCTATTAGTGATGCACATGGCTTAACAGGTAATACCTGCTGCCTTCTGGAATGGCTGGACTTACAAGATTCTTGAGGATGCCATTACACATACTTATATTTAGTAAACCAGGATGCCATTACACATACTTCTATTTAGTAAACCAGTTTAGAGATATAAAAATATAAAACCATCCCGGGGGGCTGGGTGCTCAGTCAGTTAACCATCTGCCTTCGGCTCAGGTCATGACCCCAGAGTCCTGGAATCGAGCCCTTGCTTTTCCCTCAACCTCTGCCTGCCGCTCCCCCTGCTTGAGCTCACTCGCTCGCTCTCTGTCAAATAAATACATAAAATCTTTAAAATAAAAATAAAAATAAACCATCCCTCAAAGACATTTTCAAGCATTGGCTTTCACCACTCTTGCACATTTCACTCATTACCTCAGAGAAATTGAGCATTTGGCACTGAGGAATAATTTAGACCAACAATTGCTCGATGGCAGACTTGTGATCAGAAAGAAAGAAAACAGCTCCAGAGCCAATTAGGTTATAACACAGCTACCAGGGTACTGGAGGTGGAATCTACCCTTTCTGTCTTTCACCCAGCCCCTCCTCATGTCCACCATGGTGCTATTTTTAGCCACTTTGGGAATTATACTGCCTTTCGGCCCCTAGGGGAATCTTTTTGTATTTCACATATATACTTTTATGTAAGGTAGAAAAACTACAAAGAACAGTTTGTTTCAAAGCACCTCTATTTGGTAATAATAACAAAAATCACAATCGCAAAAGTAAATTTACCAAGCTGCCAGGATGTGCAGTTTGGGTTAAAGATGCACTCTTCCAAAAATAAACTAATATTAATAAGCTCATTTCTATATAGGGCAATTCTGACAAACAATTTTATAATAACATGTTGTCTAAATTATAAAGCTTCTAACCATTAGCTTAAAGACTAGGAGATCAGATTAACTGAAAATATTAAGGGGAAAAAAATAAAATCACGTAAAACCAAAAGAAGGAGGAGAGATGCAAACTGTGTTGGACGAACATTTCAAAGGTAAGTTCTTTTACAAACATCATTTTCCAAAATTAAACTATCTAATTGGCTTTCACTTCCTACTCATCTCATGAACCTGGTTCCATAAAAATTACGCTTTAGAGACAAATTAACAAGCTAAATCTATTTTCTATGATTCTGTTTTAACTTACTTCTTCAGTTCATTTGACAATGACGTTTGAACTTTTAATTCTCCTAGGTAGAGTCGCTTGTATTTTTCCAATTCTGTTTCATAAAAATCTTGAGAACTTTTCATTCTGGATAGTTCAAATTCCAGGTCTTCAATTCTGGTTTCCATTTGATTTCTCATTAAAGCATTAGTAGTTTCTCTTATCTGTCCTAAGCTTTCTTGAGATGCTATTTGTCTCTAAAGCAAATTAAAAGCATACTTTTAAAATAAGTTATAACCTGGGTAATTATAGTATATTTCTTTCCTTTAGTTTTGAGTCAATGATTCAGAGAGCAATTGTAAATGTGAAAAAAAAAGCTGAAGTATAAAATATTTATCATCAATGTCAACTGAATTAAATCTGAATGATAAAGTTTAATCATTCTTATATTAGAACTCATGCAATCTGATAATTCAGAGAATAATAGTCATTTAAAAAATTTAAAAAGTGAACAATACAACTTAAGAATACTCCAAGTACAGGGGGTGCCTGGCTGGCTTAGTCGGTTGAGTGCCCGACTCTGGGTTTCTGCTCAATCATGATCTCAGGGTCCTGAGATAAAGCCCTGGGTCATACTCAGCATGGAGTCTGCCTGGGATTCTTTCTCTCCCTCTGTGCATCCCCTCACCCGTGCTTTCTAAATAAATAAATAAATACCTTAAAAAAAAATAATCCAAGTATGGTACAATTTTTTTTTTTTTTAAGTAGGCTCCATGCTGGGCTTGATTTCACGAGCCTGAGCTGCTCAACCAACTGAGCCACCCAGGCACCCCATGGTTAAAATTTTTAAAACACCATCTTTTCTTTTCCTGTCAATAGTCTTGTTTTATACCAACTGATCTTAAAAAATAAAATGATTCTCTACTGTGAATCATTCTGAAAAATCAATTTAGTGAGAATAATGATGAAAACTGAAATTTTTAAAGAGAAGGAACTAATGCTTCCAGAAATTTACCAAATTGCTATAAAGGAAGTAGAGGAAAACTCTACAATGCATATAACCAAAATGTAACTTGCAGTGAAATGATTAAAGCATACTACAGATCAATAAATTAACCTGGAAAAACAGATTGGCTTCTTTTAATTTTTCTGTTATGTCCAATCTTGCTCTTTCTTCAAGCTCCCGTTTATATTGTTCTATTTTACTGTATTCTACCATACTGAATTCTGCATGACTTCTGAAGTTTACTACTTGTTGTTCCAACTTCTTTTTGTTCTTCTTTAGTTTTTCATACTTCTTCTGCATTTCTTTCATAGATGTTAACTCCTGGGTAAGAAGCTGGTTGTTTGCATCCAGGTATAGACATTTTGAAGACGCAGTTTCCAGTTTTGCTGTAAGATCATCAACCTGCATGAATAAAATAATACAGTTTGTAAGTAGAGTGAAAATAGTCTAATGCAAAACTATGACCAAGTTTTTTTTTTAAAGATTTTATTTTTAAGTCTCTACACCCAACACGGGGCTCGAACTCACAACGCCCAAGATCAAGAGTCACACGCTCTACTGACAGAGCCAGCCAGGTGCTCAAATTTTGAAATAAATTCATTTTCAACAAAATGTTATCTATATTGTAAGTAGAGTCTTGGAATGTGGAACCTCAAATAACTCAGAAAATCAAGAACAAAATTAAAACCACTAGTAGTTACTAAAACAGATCTCTGCTATTGTTCTCTTTGCCACACATTTATACTTTTATTTTTCTATGATTGTTTCAGATCTTTCCTCCATAAAATAACTGTAAGTCATCTCTTAGTAGGAAGCCTCTTAACCCTTCCCTCATCTTAACACTCTATAATTTTTTAAAAGATTTTATTTATTTGAGAGGGAGAGAGAGCAAGAGAGCAAGAGTGCAAGAGCAGGGGGTGGGAAAAGCAGACTCCCCACTGAGCAGGGAGCCCAGCGTGGGGCTCAATCCCAGCATGCCAGTATCACGACCTGAGCCAAAGGCAGACACTTAACTGACTGTGCCACCCAGGTGCCCTGGTACTCCATAATTTTTAAAGAAGTTTTAGGAATATCATATTGACTTATGTAGGTCTGAGCAAATAAATGCTCACCAAAATAAGACTTTGAAAATAAAACTCTAATTAATGAATCTAAAAAGACTGACTTTAATGCCATAAGCCTTTTTCTGAATTACAAATGTTTTACGCTAATTTGAATTGCATTCTGAGAAGAAATGATTTGCAAGGTTGAGAAATCGCATCTCTCAGTAAAAAAATTTAGTGAGATGATCCATTCATTTTTGGACCAAAACAAAACGAAACAAAAAACCTTAATTCAACAGTATTATAATCCTTTGTTACGTCCCACAAAATAAGACAAAAACAACCAAAAAACTTGCTGGAGTTTCAGTGATGCTGAATTGGGAAGAACTTCTTTCCTTTAGATATGATTGGTAAGACAAGGTGAGTGGATGTGGTGGTTTTATAAATTCTTTGACACTTCTCCCATGACAATCCCCCCTCCCCCTTAATATGTGCTGGCTTTAGTAACTGGTTTCTAGTGAATAGAATATGGCAGAACTGCTGTGTGATTTTTAAGGCTAGGTTACAAAATGTGAGATAGCCTCCATCTGACTTTTTCTAGGGAAGCTCACCCTTAGAATCCAGCTGTTGTGGGAAAGCCCAGGCCACCTAGTGAGTCCTCATGCAGATACTGCAGCTGAGACTGCCCCAGCTAACATCCTAGTCAAAAGGCAGCCTCAACAGCCAAACATGTGCATGAACAAGAATAAGGTTTTAGATGATTCTAGTTCCCAGCTTCCAGTCATCGCAGGTGATGCCAAATGAAGAAGAAATGAGTTGACCTTACTCAGCCTTGTCTAAAGATGTGTGAACAAGATAAATGCTGTTTTGAGCCACTACGTTTTGAGATGGTTTAGTATGCAGCAATAAATAACTGGCACAGATACTGATATTAAAAATGGGGTGCTGCCATTAAAAACAAAACAAACTAAAAATAAAACCTCCTTTGAACCAGGAGGTAGGTGGAACCTGAAAGGATGTAGAGAAGAGTAAGAATGAAAACCAAAAGGGATTCCAAGAGACTGTTAGTGGAAACCTGATGGCCCTTGAAGAGGCTTACAGCAAAGGTTTCTAGACAAGTGAAGAAAATGACACTAGAGGGAAAGGAACTCATGCCACAAACCACTTGAAAGGAAACTCATAGGGGAGATAAGCTAAAGAAACTCTCTTCAATATGAAGGAACCGGGATTTACTGGGTTCAAATATGTTTCTCATTTACAGCCTCTCCACATGCTGAATTGTCAAATAATGCTAAAATAAATGGCTTCTGGGTTGAGAGCAAATTGAGGAAAACATGGTCTATGGATGAAGCCAAGACTATGAAACCCTTTAGTAAGAACTCGGAAGGATTTAAGGTGTGCCTCCAATTTCTTTAAGGATCTTAAGAGTATAAGAATTTTAAAGGCATTGTCAAAATGAGGTTTACAGGAAACCTGAGGTGAAAAGCTTATCTCAAAAAGACCCAGGAGAATGGCTTTTCTAATGGCATGAACTCCAATAATATTCACAGAAAACTCAAAAAGTGAAGAGAATTATAGGGGTACCTGGGTGGCTCAGTTGGTTAAGCGGCTGTCTTCAGCTCAGGTCAAGATCTCAGGGTCCTGGGGGCGCCTGGGTGGCTCAGTTGGTTAAGCGACTGCCTTCGGCTCAGGTCATGATCCTGGAGTCCCGGGATCGAGTCCCGCATCGGGCTCCCTGCTCGGCAGGGAGACTGCCTCTCCCTCTCCCTCTGCCTGCCTCTCTGCCTACTTGTGCTGTCTATCTTTCTGTCAAATAAATAAAATCTTCCAAAAAAATAAAAGTGAAGAGAATTAGAGAAGCAAAAACACTGTTTGCGAGCTTGGACTAAGAGAGACCAAGATAGTACAAGCTGAAAACAGGCCTTTGGGTCTTAGAAGTCCCACAGGGAGGAAGCAGGCTGAAAAAACAGCTAAAAACACAGGTCATTCCTTATGAAAAGGACAGAACCAAGAGCTCAAAGAGTAAAGCAAAGAGCCATGGAGAAGTATTCCCATGGTTAGGACTAAGTCCTAACTAAAGAACTGACAGCATGCTTCAGGCTATATTTCAAAACTGCTATGGACTAGCGTGCTTCCCATCTTCTTTCTGAATGGGAGAGTCCTTAGCAGGTTACCAGCATCCTGCATTTTGAGTGGTAGAGAACTGTCACTTTAATTCTCAAGTCTTCATATTGAGAGGACTTGAACTCAAGGGACTATACTTCAGACACCTTATCTCCACTGCACCTGATTAAAATGGTAAGATCTTGGATCAAGCCTGAACCTAATGCCATGCTAATTGAGATTTGTGGGAGGAGTTGAGTGTATTTTTCATGTTGGAGGAATAAAAAAATATGCTGGTTTTTAAATGTGTCCATAGGTTTTTAAATATTCATTCTATTAAAAATAAATAAATAAAAAGACCGTGGGCAATCTTAGTGACTTATCTCCTAACAAACAGAATATGGTGAATGTGATGCTCTGTGTATTCCAAAGCTAGGTTACAAAGGTAATAGGGCTTCTGCCTTGCTCTGTATCTCAGGCAGCATACTTGGAATTTCACCCTCCAACTTGTGAGGAAGCTCAGGCCACAAAGAGAGTCTAGGTGTTTCAGCTGCCTGCCTTAACTATAGTCCTAGTCAACAGCCAGCATCAACAACACCAGAAGTGATGGAACAAATCTTCAAACACTTCCATCCCCAAACCTTTCAGCTGCCCCACCTGAAGCTACGGGAACAGAAACAAGCTGTCCTGGCCACACTTTTCCTAACAGATTTGTGAACAAAATAAATGTTATTTATTTAAGCCACTAAACTTTGGGGAGTTTGTTAAGAAAAAAACAAAAAAGATAAACAGATAAATTGGTGATAAAAAGAGTTAATAAGATACATAACTTATACAGTAGAAACTGGTCTCCATTAAAGTGGGAAGTAATAAATGTCAAGATTAATTTATTAATGACAAACAGTGCTAATGAGAAGCAGCACATAACTAGAAGCAAGATCTAAGTAGTTTTCTCTCCATTTCCCCCCATTTAGGATGACATTACCTATGCATTTTTTATATATGACCTTTATTATGTTGCAGGATGTTCCTTCTAAACCTACTTTGTTGAGGGTTTTTATCGTGAATGGACGTTGTACTTCGTCAAATGCTTTTTCTGCATCTATTGAAACGATCAGATGATTCTTCTCCTTTCTTTTATTAATGTGGTGTATCACATTGATTGATTTGCAGATATTGAACCACCCCTACAACCCAGGAATAAATCCCATTTGATCATGGTGATGATTTTTTTAATGTATTGTTGGATTCAGTCTGCTAGTATTTTGTTGAGGATTTTTGCATCTAGGTTCACTAGAGATACTGGCCTAGTTCTCTTTGTGGTGTCTTTATCTGGTTTTGGTATCAGGGTAATACTGGCCGCATAAAATGAATTTGGAAGTTTTCCTTCCTTTTCTGTTTTTTTTTTTGGGGGGGGGAACAGTTTGAGAAGAATAGGTACTAACTCTTCCTTTAAGTGCTTGGTAGAATTTGCCTCTGAAGCCGTCTGGTCCCAGACTTGGGTTTGTTCAGAGTTTTTTGATTACTGATTCAATTTCTTTGCGGGTTATCAGTCTGTTCAAATCTTCTATTCCCTCCTGTTTCAGTTTTGGTAATTTGTATGTTTCTAGGAATTTATCCATTTCTTCTAGATTGTCTATTTGTTGGCATATACTTTTTCATAATATTCTCTCATAACTGTTTGCATTTCTGTGGTGGTGTTATTTCTCCTCTCTCATTTGTGATTTTATTTATTTGGGTCCTTTCTCTTTTCTTTCTGTAACTCTGGCTAGAGCCTTGTCAGTTTTATTAATTTTTCCAAAGAACCAGCAACTGGTTTCATTGATCTCTTCTAGTTTTATCTTTTTTAAGTTTCTATACTATTTATTTCTGCTGTATTTTTTTAAAGGATTTGTTTATTTGAGAGAGAGAGAGAGTGGGGAAAGGGGCAAATGGAGACGGAGTGAGGGAATCCTCAAGTAGACTCCCCGCTGAGCATGGAGCCTGAAGCAGTGCTCAATCCCAGGACCTTGAGATCATGACCTGAGCGGAAATCAAGAGTTAGCTGCTTAACCAACTGAGCCACCCTGGTGCCCCTATTTCTGCTCTAATTTTTACTATTTCCTTCCTTCTGCTGACTCTACGCTTCATTTATTATTCTTTTTCTAGCTTCTTTAGGTGTAAGGTAGTTTGAGATTTTTCTTGCTCTCGAGCAAGGCCTGTATTGCTATATACTTCCCTCTTAGGACCACTTTTGCCGTATCTCAAAAGTTTTGG